AGTCCCTCTTCTCCCCCCTTTGCGCCAACCAGCTTTAGATTAATTCGTAGTGCTTCTAGAATAGGAAAGCTGGCACCGAGCCAAGCTCCATCTCCAGATCTCTCCTATATTAACAATGTAAATATAATATCGACTGTCCCGCTCCCCACAGTCTCGACAGGCCATGTCCAGACCTTATCATCGATATGGACCATGCGGATGACCGCAGCGTCGAAGTCAGGGCGGTCGCCGCTGCCTTCATGGCAGTGGCAGTCGTCACGGTGATCCTGCGATGTTACGTGCGAGGATGGTTAGTGAAGGCATTTGGCTGGGATGACGGAGCGATGGTGGTTGCATTGGTTCGTTGCTGGTCGACTAAAACTCCCGCGAAAAGAAAGGGAAAGATGAAACCGAGCAAATGGCTGACCAAGGGAACCAAACAATGATAGTTATTCTACGTGATGTTTTCCGCCTGTATGATTGGAGGCAGTTTATGGGGTACTGGGCGAAGATACAAAGATCTGACGGCGGTGCAACGCGTAACGGCCATGCGGGTATATCTACACCTACACCCACCATCAACCTTTCCCTTCCCAACGATCCCCATGGAACTCGACCCAGACTAACACGGAAAGTAAAGTATTGGTGGCTATGTGAAATCGCGTACTGTTTCGCCTCCGTCGGCGGCAAAATCTCTATCTGTATCTTCCTGATGCGCATCACGGTCAAACGAGAGCATATATGGTCCCTCTATATCGTCATGATCCTGACGGTGATCGCCGGTCTCGTCTTCATGTTCCTCATGCTGCTGCAGTGTAAACCGCTGGAGTATTTCTGGACCAAGGTCGCGTTCGATCCGAATATCTCGGGCCATTGTCTCGACATGACGATCATTATCGCCATGACGTATGTGTATAGTGCTTTCGCGGTGATCTGCGATTTCACGGTGGCTATTTTGCCGATCTTCTTGGTGAAGAACTTGCATATGAAGAAGCAGACCAAGGTGGCTGTGGTCGGGATCTTGAGTATGGCTTGCATGTACGTGGATCTTCCTTTGGGCGAGGTGAATTGAGGAGAAAGTGGAATGATGGCTGACGGGACAACTTGGATTTCATGCAGTGCTTCTTCTGCCGTCATTATTCGTATACCCTTTGTTCATACCTTTGACGATCCGGACTTTCTTTGTATGTTTCCCTATCTAGCTCATTCGGACGCGGACATGCGCTTATATGGAAATTGAAAAACAGACGCAACGGTTGAAATCGCCATCTGGTCCAATATCGAAGTGGGCCTAGGGATCACGGCTGGCAGTCTCGCTACCCTTCGTCCTCTCCTCCGTCACTGGCTCGGTTCACGCACCGATCCTACATATCCCTCGCCCTTTCCCGGTCGATCCGGATCGCGACTTCCCGGGGGTGCCAGTCGAGATCGACCCTTTCCGTTGGGGTCGCTGGATGAGAACGTCCAGAACCGGCTGAGGCCGGATAAGTTGGCAGTGACGGTGACGACGGTGCAAAGCCAGGATCAGAATGGGTCGTGGCATGGTGGATCGAGTCCCAATAGTAGCGAGGAACGCTTGACGGCCCAGGGCTCGCCGGCGTTACCGGCTGTTGGGGGCGACATAGGGTTGGGGATTCATCAGACGTTCGAGGTCACGCAGACAAGTACGTCGCAGACGGTGCGGGAACACTTCTAGCATATATTAATTATTTTCTTTTTTTTTTTTTTTTTTCTTATTATGTACATTTCCTTGAGTTATTATTAAAACTTAGCTAAGTATGATACGATAAATGAACAATATTTGAACGAACGAGAAAAATGCTTTATATTAACTGACTATTTATGCGTGTAGGTATCCGTTAACAATTTCAGTGAAGGCCGCGGGCTGCTCGACCATAGGCAGATGTCCGGCTTTGGGAACCAATTTCAGCTCGGCGCCGCCCTTCAGATCGTTTGCCATTTGTTGCATCGTCTTGGGCAGTACGCCGTCTCCCGCACCCGCGACAAACAACCCAGGCACCTGTGCTTGAGCCATGCGATCCCGGACGTCATATGCGCAAAGGGCCTGCACGGCCTTGCGGAAACCGTCCAGACTGTTGTTGCGTACGATCTCCTTCACCTTCGCGGGTACTTCCGGCTGCGTCTCGTATGATTCAGGCACGAACCACCGACGGGTGGTAACTTCGGATAGCTGCTCACCAATAATCGGTTCCTGAGTGGCGGCGGACACTGCACCGTCGCTCTCGGCCATGGCGACGCGGTCGTTCCAGGCCTTGAGGTTGGATTCGGGCGCCGAGCTATTGGTGTCGCAGGAAATAAAGCGTGTCACGCGATCCGGGTACAGCAACGATGTGTTGAGAACGGTCACGCCACCCAGACTGACACCAATCAGAGTCGCCTTGGGGATCCGCAGAGCATCGAGGAGCGCGATGATATCCGATGCCAGAAGGTCAATGTTGACGGGCTTCTCCCCACACTTGCTGAGACGGCCACGGGTCTGGTACCGAAGGATCCGGAACTGCTGGTTCTTCGGGTTCGAGAGGAAAGCATCCACGAAGCTGTCCCAGATGGTATAGTCGACGAGGATGGAGTTGCTCAGGACAATGACGGGGCTATGAGGATCAGTGCTGCCCTCTAGGCGGTATGGGAGATCGACACCGTCCGGAGTGGTGATAAACGACTCAACGGCAGGGCGGGTGGGAGAAGGAAACGTTCTGGTGCGACCGTCGTTGGAAGCCCAAGGTCCGGCCACATCCTTAGAGGCCAGGGAAGACAATTCACGCGGCGCTGGGCCAAATGTATAAGCCCATTGGTAAACGCGCCGCTTCTTGCTCGTAGCAGGATCATTCATGAGACGGTTGCGCCACGGGGTATCCATCGCAGCTTTGTGTTCAGGGCCACCCAGGCCGTTTACTGCGCTGTACTCGTATAGGCATAGGAATTCTCGGGGTGCTTTGGGGTCGATCGACGATGTGGTGAAGAGGCGGCTGCGACGCCAGCCCGGCACACGTGCTAGCATAGGGAAGTGTTCTTCACGATACCAATTCTTGAGGTCCTCTTCCTTGTCGGCGGGAACGGTGACCAAGGCAGAGACAAGCACCGAGCCGGCGGCTTCAGTGTCAGGGATATCTTCGACAGGCGTGTAATCGGCGTCCTTGTGATCATGCAGAAGATCATAAAGACGACGATCAACGTTAATCTGGGCCATGGTGGCCTTTTCACGTGGGGTCTTCACACCATCTCCACGGAGAGCCAAGTAGGTCTCGCGCGTCAGCTCCACCATGTCGGTAATGTCGTACGGAGCTACCCACTCGGGCTCGATGCCGTCGACGGCACGGTAGCGGAATCCATTAGTGACAAAGGGCAGTCGGAGACGTAGGGGACCGTGTTCGGTGTTGTACCAGTCGTGAAACTGGGCCGCGGGGAGAGAATCGCGGGGTTGCATCGTCACGTAAAGAAGGCCGGGGGTCGCCATGGTGAATGGTTTTTCACTGTGTATGATGGTCCAATTTCAAATCAATGTCCTTGACCAGTCTGCAGGGGAGGGGTTGATCGGAATCGCGGGGGAAATATCATTTTGTATCGCCGTGGGCACATCCCCGGATCAGGGCGAGGCCGATTGACTGCCGACCAGATAGCCGAACACTGGCGGGTGAAGTCATCGGGAACCAGGCGATCAATTCGAAGCCGGAGATTGGCAGTTTTTATTTATCCTCGATAGAGGGATTGACCATTCTTTCGGGGAAGTATGTAGAAGGTGTCAAGTCGTGATGCTATCCAGAAACGTCTCGAGTAAGGGAACTTGTCGTGAGAATCCAGAATGTTGTTGGTTGTTGTTTCATAAATTATTGAGGCAAGCACGGGATTTGCGATTTGATGCCTTATACACCAGGCAAAAAGCCAGAGCATTAGTGCCTTACCTTCCAGGCACATACAGCCGCTTGCAGCCATTTTCCATCAATTACTACCCTCCGCATATGTAGATGGAGGGTTAACATAAATATACTAACAGTGAACAGATTGCGAGCATCAATACAGTGATGATCTGTTTTGTGCACATTGCTGAAACTTGGATAAGTATGGGCCTGCTTATCAAGCGATGTACGAGATCTAAATAGTCGACACCATAATTCTCACCAAGCTACTATATATTAACTATGGTATTCAGATGTTTATCACAGATTCACATCTACAGAGTATCGACAGACCCACAGCAAGACACATGAACTCTCATTACTAATGAACCTAGCTCTCCCATATTCCATGGTGAAGTTTCTGTTCTATAGTAGACGACAGTACATCAAGGCTCATTCTCCTCAGCAGACTTACCTAGCAAAGGCATCGCATTTCTCTCTGCGGTGGAGGAATAAAACACATTTCCGGCCAGATTTTCGACAAGCGCCCGGACGTATCGGGCTTCCGGGCTATCCGTGCCTGTCCTACCCAAGACCTCCTTGTAAAGACCGTGCATCTCTCGTTCTATGTCCAGCTGGATGTTACGTGCAACCTCTTTCGCCGCTCCAAGAGATACATTGTGCTCGCTCTGTAGGACGTGTATGGCATTGACGACTGCGGAGCCGTTAACCTTGCGCTCGAGACAATCTTTCTCATACGAAAAAAGATCTTTGACGATGACTCGATGTTTTGCCCAGAGATCCACTATACACTTCAGGATGGGATCCTGGCCTTGCTGAGAGGTGAGCTGGGTTGATCCTGCGAAGCGGATCATGGAAAGATTGACGCTGAACTCATCAGTATCCACAATAAAGAGAATGTTTGGTTCGGACATACTCCGTAGTAGCATCTTCAACAATCGCTTTAAGGTATTCTGATAGGGTCGTGAGTCGGAAATTATCCTGGTCCTTGGAGCGGTGGGCTCGGGACATTCGATGCCATTTTAAAGCCGCCGCTGCGACTTCAAATCCAATAGTAGGGTCCGCTTGAACGATATCCTGTAGAACGGTGGAGATTAGGCGACATATTGGACATGGTCCTTGACGGCAACTCTTTCGAGTAGGTGACGGAGACCTTCGATCTTGCTGCAGCTCTTCCTGTAATGCTCTTAGTAGGCTTGGGGAGTAATAGGTCGCAGAAACCTTACTTGGTGACATTCAGCGATACTTGGCACATCTACTGATTGGTTAACGAAGATCTGGCCTGGAGTTGCATAGACCGACGGAGATACCATCGTGGATCCACATTACGACATGTAGTTGAGCCAAGAGTCGGATTCTGACCACATCAGCTCTCGGATACATGTACACAGTACATGCAACAGCTGTTTCCACCAACTGAAGAATTTCTGCCAAGTCTCTCCAATGCTTGCAAAAGTCACTCATGCACGAGTCCCCGGCGCGAAAGAGCCTATCCGTCAGCTCTTGTGCAGCGTCTTCTGCCTCCCGCCATTGTCGACTTTGCCGACAAGCCGGAAAGAATGTTTGCCAAGATACGCCCAGGTCTTCTGGGTTAAGGCAGAAAGAAGACCTGTGCAATGCTGGGTCATCCTTGGCGGCTGTCGCAAGAAAGCTGAAGAGATCGTGCCTTGGGGGGTCTGATGTTGCATGGACTGGGTCATAGGAGTAGTGGACTGGTCTAATAGGGTGACGAGGTCCTCGATCAAAAGGAAGAGTGGCTGTATACGTAGCCATTGAAGTTTTTGTTGATTTCGGTGTTGCCTGATTCTAGTGACGTCTTGCTTTTTATCGATTGTAGGAGATAAACGGTTGTGTTTATGTAGACCGTGTCTTGACACGAGAGCCATTTATATTACGCAGACACTGTGCCACAGAACATAGCAGGCCTGTCCCGGTTCCTCATTATGGTTGAGGCTCATGGCCAATAACCTAAAACCTTGTGTTGACGTGTATGGAGATGCGCAGTGACGTGATAGAGTTCAACAAGGCTCGTGCCATGGCCATCAAATTCCAAGTATATCCTAAGGACGTGTCTTGTATAGAGTGGCATCTAGCAAAGGCCAGATACAGAGACTTGTGCCTAGAATTACCTTCCTATCTATCTTATCTTCCACTTTAATTTTAAAAATGACCACAAAAGATGCTCGTGGATGGAGATTCAAGGCGGTGCTGGAAAGAGCAATAGAATGTTGAGACAGGACTCAGCTAGTGAGTTGATTGAATCATTTGATGTCTTGAACCATGGTCCTCATTCTGTATCCCTGGCTGATACGCCAGCCAAGGCATGGCTGAAGGTACGTGCAAGGCTATTCATAGTTTATTTCTGAAAGAAGCGTCAGGTTTTCGCTTTTCGGGTCTATAAACTGGATGGTCTTCAACGACTCCTTCCATATTTGGACATAAAGTCCAGGGCATTCCTGATGGAACATGCTTTCGGACGTATCAAGTTGATGAAGTAGTCGAAATTTTATATGAACATTCTATTCTATCATTGCATTATTTTATAAGCTTTGCGTTTAACCGTTAATCATACCAAATGGCATTCATGCCGAATCCCTTTTCAGGAATATCTACTCGTGCGACACGAGCCAAGTTCTCATCGCGGAATCGATAGATCTCGACGAATCCTAGCTGGTCATCGCACAGCGCCAACCATTCGTCGCTGAAATCACAAGGACTGACGGCATTAGAGTGTCCACCGCTGGTCGAAGTGGGGTGGATGAACAGCTGCCGCTCGATGTTGCCATTCGGGCCTAGCTTGAAGGCTGTGATATAGCCGGTGACATCGAAGTGGTTGCTGCGGGTGGTCGCAAAGAGATACTCGCCGCTGCGGGTGGTGAAAGTGACGTCACCACGATACTTGTTGCGAGGGGGAAGACCTGTTTGGATCAGATTAACCATGTTCAAATCAGCAGAGCCAACGTAGACTTACCTGGAGGGAGCAATGGGTAGGTGGTATGCGTAAATACAGGCACATGGCGCTTTTCATCGATGACGTATACTCCCAGTCGGTTACCCGCTTCCATCAGCACGTACAAGTACTTTCCGCTCGGGTGCATCTCAACCCAGCGGGGGTGATCATCGGGCGAGGGGGCATCAATGCAATCCACCAGGGTCAGTTCGCCTGTTGTCGCATCCTTGCGATGGGTCCAGATCTTGTTCGCCTGCAGATCGGCAGAGTAAAGGTAGGTCTCAGAGGGGTCAAAAACCATGCCGTGGATACCGGTGTTCGGTTCGTACTCGTAGTTCTGAATGTTCTTGGCGAGACGGCCGTCAGACTCAACAGAGAAGACATTTCCATATCCAGCATATTTGTAGAAAGGGTTTCCATAGACGGCGTAAGGGGCTTGACGGGCGGCAAGAACGAAGATGGCGCGGGTATTGGTGTCGTCGTTGGCGGCAAGGGCTGTAAACAGTCAGAAATCCCGCTTCCAATAGCGGAGGGCTCTCCAGAAAGAATTGAGACGTACGGTGACCAGCGACTGGGTGGGAGACTTGGTGAACAATATCGGTGGGGCTGTTGACGGCGAAACTATTCCACTTCTTCATGGCCGCGCCGTAAATTGTTTTTTTGTCGTGCTATAGCAATTGCGTCAGACAACGCCAATTGAAACTTGTCGAGACCGATAACTTACGGAGAAGGTCATCCACGAAATGGGTTCAGCCTCTGGAATGTCGGTCTTCTTGACCAAGTCCAGGGTAAGTGCCTCATCATCAAAGGCAACAGTATAGATGCGACCTGGAGGAGTCCAGGTACCGACCATTAGATGGTGCTTCATGTTGACGGCGATTGACTGGGAAAAGGTACGAGAGACGGCGCGAGAAACCGGTTTGAATCGAAAAGTCGACGAGAACATCGATTGAAACGAAGGAAGAGAGGAAGACTGGCCGACATGATGTTTCTACTTACAGATTCCCATTCCGGAGAAAGGACGGAGTTTGAGATCAACCGAACGCGGGGAACGGCAGTCGCGGGCGGCAGTGGATCGCTGCCTCAGGCTGAGTACCCCGCCATACTACTAGTAATCAGTCAGTCGCATCCCCGGAGTGATCGCCACGTTTAACCCTATCTCTACTATACGAGGCTTTTGCCAATGTACCACCTGCTGGTATTCCGGTCAAGAACAATTTCCCTTTATGATGTAGCCTAACGGCGATTTGTCGCTATATGACTGCGGAAGAATTATGTGTTGTCGTCGTCGTCGTCGTCGTCGTCGTCGTCGCCTTTGGTGTTATTTATCGCATTCCATTACCCATCATACTAGGACTCGAAGTAGAAGTAAAGCCGATTTGAGGATACCCTGTTTCACTTCTTTTTAATATCACCTTCATAAATTTCAATATTTCTTGGCGAGGAAGCTCGGAAAGTCAGACAGCAGGCCTTGGAATCTTTCGGTTCTAGAAATACGCCTTGTATACGTGAGGCTATAGGCTCTGATTCATTATCTCTGTAAATCACATGAGAGATCAACCTTCAGTCCAGCGAGTGAGAAGGAGATTCAAGTATATAAGCTCTGTTTGCTAGATCAGAATTCCCTCCCATAATAGTAATCACCGTCTATCCAACAGTCTCAGGCTTGAGTCTTGCGTCACTCACATCACCTACGACATCCGCTGTCGATGACTCTTGGAAGACTACTCATCATGCTAGATGGGTCTCTTATGGACCCCAGACGCTCTGTTCCAGGGAATAGTGATACTACTGCCCGCAGCTCTCATCAGGGTTGTACCGGAATTCGGTTTGGGTGGGTTATGAATCCCTCACTCTCAGCAACGCTAGTACTTCTATGGCATTGTAGCTTAATTGAGTCTAATCAAACGTCGACCGACCATATAAAGGCTTAGCCCACTGACATGGCCCGAGACAGCACCCGCATGAGTACTAGCATCCATCCACCTAGATACACCTAGTCTGAGAAACCCTATCAAACGCTAATCATAAACGTAGTGTTGTGCTTTTCTATCAATAATACAGCTTTGGTTTTGGTATGCAGCACAACACCAACAGTTATCTATTTAAATCAAAAGCCAGACTCCGGCAGCACTGGCAAGTCATTGTACATGGTAAGTATACAGACGGCCTGGGTCCTCATATTCAATTGCCTGTATTAAAGCCCTCTAAGTCAACCACGAATGCCATTGGTGAATGAACTTAATTCATGCCCACATAGTTCCCCCTGTAAAAGCAGAGGGAAAAATAAAGAAGAGGAATGATTACCCTAAATTAGCTACAGACACTGATGATCCGTGAAGGTCTTCCCGGGTAAGCTTATTCCCGGGCGGAAACGTATTTACCCGCACCCCCAAGGTTTGGGATTGGTTTAGGGTATGGGGTAAGGCTGACGGGGTTTAGCTTCATACACGTGACGAGGTCGCTGCTAATTCCTGGCCAGATTGTTATACAATATAGGGTGAGACATTTTTAGACAGTCTCTGTGAGACAATGAGTTATTCTGTTCTGACAGCTACTGGCCATGAAGCCATATGAATTATGTTAGCACAGTAATGCGAACTTTACTGTGGATGGCTGTACAGTTGCCACCCAACGTCAAAAATATATCAATATTATATATGAAATTGGTGTTCATGAGCTAATAAGTAGTCCTGTTGATTTTTCATACAATAGCCTCTGAATGCTATCCTTGGCCATGTACAACCTTAGACGTAGCTGACACATAGGTCAGTATGCATCCGCGTATCCACATATCCATCATATACCACCATAACAAACCCTTTACCCCCCCCCCCC